GCCGAGCAGGGAGCCCGATGCGGGGCTCGATCCCAGGACCCTGGGATCATGACCTGAGCCGAAGGCAGATGCTTAACGAACTGAGCCACCCAGGTGCCCCTAATGTTACCATTGTTTTGTCTTAACTTCATTCCTTGGGTTCTCACAACCTCTGGAGAAGGGTCAGATCTGATCACTGCTGCTTTACAGAAGACGTACCAAATTTAAGCCAAAGAAGCAGCATATGCTACATTATCTGATTATAAAGAAAGGGCTTTTAAGCAAAATTTTGAGGGTTTTTTTTTTGTGTGTGTGTTTTAAAGATTTATTTATTTACTTGAGAGAGTGCACTTGTGCGCACGAGTGCAGGGGGGAAGGGCAGAGGGAGGGGGAGAGAGAATCTCAAGCAGACTCCACACACTTGGGGCCTGACACAGGACTAGATTCCATGACCCTGAGATCAGAATCTGAGCTGAAACCAAGAGTCGGACACTTAACTGACTCTGCCACCCAGGTGCCCCTTGAGTTGTTTTTCTTTTTGAAAGCAAATGAGATGTGTTCTTTCATTTTTCCTCCATGTGAGTTAGTTTTTTTGAGGTTAATGACAACAGATTGGGTGATTAAGCTCATGGATTGTTTTCTTACCAGCAGTGGGACCTGAGCAAGTGAATGTATTGGTCAGAATGCTTGTGTTCCAGAGGGATTACCTTATATCCTACAGTGGAATGAATTTTCAGGACTAGTAGAAATTTTGCATTTAGAAAGAAAATAGTGTAAAAGCACTTGAATTTTACTTTTCTAGTGTTGTGGGCTGAAACCAGCAATTTTCCTATTCTGTCTCTTTGCCATCAGGACTGAATGTGATCAAATTAAGACAGTGCAAATCTTCCACTGAAATTTTCTAGGCAAGGAGTTTAACTCCAAAATTCTACTTCTTGTTTTGTTTTTTAAACCAGATGAATATGTGATCCCTTTGGACCCCCGATGGAACATGCAGGCTTTGGACATCATTAGAAATTCGATGGACTTTGACCCACAAACAGACGAGCCCGAGCAGCTCTTTGCCCTTTTAGAGTCCGTTGCAAACAAGTAGGTGAAGCCTGCTATTCTGGGCACTCTTTGCCTCACTGTACAATATAGCTTTAGAGATTATACCTTTTCTAAATTCTGTCAAATTTAGCTTACATGTGTTTAATCTCCTGAACCTGAGAAGTGGTGGGATGTTAGATGGGATTGCCTTCATGCTACATGCTCAATGAAGTAACTCTGATGTCAAAAAAAAAAAAAAATGCCTGGAAATGCTGCAAGTTCTTAATAATTTAATAGGATGCTTTAAGAGATACACTAACTCAATGTTAATGTTGTGTTATATTTTGCAATTAATCTTTTATCATAAGATAGTCATGTTTCTCTTGTTTTCTATTCATGATTCTCGGCAGCTCCTCCCATATTCACCTGCTCATTCTCTTTTTTTTTTTTTTTAAGATTTTATTTATTCATTCATGAGAGACAGAGAGAGAGAGAGAGAGGCAGAGGGAGAAGCAGGCTCCCAAGGAGCAGGGAGCCCGATGCGGGACTCGATCCCAGGACCCTGGGATCATGACCTGAGCCGAAGGCAGACGCTTAACCATCTGAGCCACCCAGGCGCCCATACCTGCTCATTCTCTTACAGGTCCTTTCCTCAGCCTTGTGTCCACATCATTTCCCATCCTCTAATGTTGAGACATGTAACACCTGCATGCTTACGTGCATACTCAACATATAAATTTATCTAATTGTTATATAAGCTGGTCTTTCCTCACATTTAATGTAATGGCCAGCAGTAGTTTTTTAATTGGCATACAGTGTAATGTAATACATTTTTAAAAATAATTTTATAACTGAGGTATAATGTACATTACAGAAAAGTACACTTAATAATGAGTATATTTGGTTTTGATGAATTTTCACAAAGTGAACTCATGCATTTGGTATGAACTAGCACCTCAAGGCCCTCTTATCTCCCCTCCTAGTAACACCCCCTTGTGCCTCCCTAGGTAACTTATAACACCAGAGATTAATTTTATGATGGCCACTTTTAAGAGTTCACAGTGTAGAGTGTCAGATCACAGCAAAGCCTGGCAGTTTCCCTAGATGCAGCTTTTCCCAGTCATCTGTCTTCCCCACTCCCCACCCCCCCCACAACTCAGTCATCATCACTTTCACAACTCTTTCTGTTTAGTCCAGAATTTGGAGGGGATGGAAAGGAATGGCAGGTTGAAGGAGATTGATCTTCCAAGGATTCTCAGGATTTCAGCAGGTAAGAGGATGTGATTGCAAAGTAGTATACAGTAATAACCAATAATATTTGTTATGTTATTGATCTCGTTTCAGGACAATCATATATCTTGACCGGGAAAAACGGATTTTTACTGAAGCAAATTTGATTTCTGTTGGTGGCAAAAAGTTAAGAAATAGTGTTTTAAGAATGGCCTTTGAGTTCCATAAAGGTAAGAAGTTTACTTTTTATATTCTTGAGTTATGCATCTGATCATAGAATGTCTCTAAAGTTAAGAGACCTTCAGCAGCTGCTGCCATTTTACTGATTCCTTTTGATTTTTTGGCCTGATTTGTTCAATAGTAGTGACTAACTGCTTTGTACATGTCCTTGATTTCATTTACTTTTTATAGTAACCTTATGTGGTGTAGGTCCCATGCTGTGAAAGAGGAGAGGGATGTACAGAGATGCTCATGGTCACATCTCTAGCAAGTAACAGAACTAGAATCTGAAATCTAGGTCTGTTGGCTCAAAAAGTTCATGCTCCTAAGTATTTCGTTATAGGTTCTTTCTTCATCCTTTATTTTTTTTTAATTGAAAAGGTATCTGTGCTTGTTGGAAAAAATTTGGACTATATGGAAGCATAAAAATTGAAGAAGTCTGCCTTTGAAGCAGTTATTGTTAATAGTCACATTCCTTTGTATCTTCTCCTCTGTGCTATCTATTCATTCAAACATATATACACTTTGTTTTTGTTTTGTATTTAAACAATTACTTGTGGGGCGCCCTGGGTGGCTCAGTCATTAAGCGTCTGCCTTTGGCTCAGGTCATGATCCCGGGGTCCTGGGATTGAGCCCCGCATCGGGCTCCCTGCTCGGTGGGAAGCCTGCTTCTCCCTCTCCCACTCCCCTGCTTGTGTTCCCTTCCTCGCTGTCTCTCTCTCTCTCTGTCAAATAAATAAATAAATCTTTAAAATAAATAAATAAACAAGTACTTGTAAAATACCCATTATTGCTCTTTAATTTTCATTTTTCATTAAGACGTTAAGAACTTCTATAGATATGCATACCTGATTTGCTAAGTGTAATATAATAGTAGGCTAAGAATTTGCTTTCAATTTTGACCTTTAAAATTGACCTTCATACTAGAGATGCAGTTAAGTTCCATATTACAGTTGATTTTAAAAATGTCCAGATATTAATTTAAATCTGATGGAATATTCTTATTTGTGTCAACTCTAAGATCCAGAAAGCTATCACAGCCTGCCCCATGAAGTTGTGGTCAATCTTGCTGCTTTTTTTGAACTTTGCGATGCACTAATCCTGCTCTGGGTCCAGTCCTCTCAGGGGATGGTGTCTAATGCCAGTGTCATTGAGGTGAGGAAATATACCTTATTTTTTATTTTTGTGCCAAGACAAATGTTTAAGATTTTTAGGGGTGAGACAAACTACAATGTTGTTATTATATGTCCAATATTACTTGAGAAATTTAGTTGTTCTTAACAGTTTTAAATATATACACACATATTTTAGAGCTTTGTGGGTATATAATTGACAAATAGCATATATTTGAAGTGTAGAATTTTATGTTTTGACATGTATACACCTGTGAAGCCATTACCACAATAGTGAACATATCTAATACCCTCAAGCCTTTCCTCATCTTCTTTTGTATTTCCTTTCTCTCCCTTGCCCCCACCCTAAACCAGGTATCCATTAACATGCTTTTGGTTAGTTGCATTTTTCTAGCATTTTATATAATTGGAATTATGCAGTATACTTTTTTTGTCTGGCTTCTTTCACTCAAAACAGTTATTTTGAGATGTATCCATATTGTTTATTGTATTAAGAGTTCATTCTTTTTTATTGCCAAGTAATATTCCATCAAATGTAGGTATTACAATCTATCCACCTCTTGGAGAACATTGGAATTTTAATTTATATTTTAATCCACTTAAGTCTTCTTAGACATCCTTGAATTTTGAATCTGGATTATTCTAGTAATTTCAATAAACAAGAATAGTAGGTCTTAACTTTTAAGACCCTAAAGGAGTCTTGAGTCTAAAAAGTTTATCAAAGATTTTATAGTCACATCTATACATATTTACTATATTAGGAAATAAATCTGAGAATACAAAAAATATTAATTTGCTTAAAACACACAATAGCAAATCCATTGAATGTTAACAGGAATAACATTTTTAATGAGAATCAACTGTTTTTCAAAACAAATTAATGAAAAGTGCAACTATTTTTACATTTCTTCAAGTCTTTTTAATGTATGGATTAACAGAAGAAAATGGAATCTTTGCATTCATCTTACATTGTGTTGTTTAGGTCTCTATTTATATAGTTCTACTCCTCCCTTTTCCAACCTTATGTCTTCATAACCATTTCATATAACTGTGAATAATTTTCTTTGATACTGTACCACAACTTGACAAGTGATAGTTTTCTAAAGATTACTTGTAATGTGGAATCTGAAAAAATACACCAAACTTGTCATGCATCAAAATCCATTCATCTAGCTTGCACTTTGGATGGACTTTTACTTTTTACTCTTGTAGGAATTTAGCTCATGCTTTGGTAATTTGGAAATTATTGTTCACCGAATTATCAGATCTTCCAAATGTTGATAAATCATTCTTCAGTGTCAACAGAGTCACACTGATGAAAAACTATCGGGGTGCCTGGGTGGCTCAGATGGTTAAGCGTCTGCCTTCGGCTCAGGTCGTGATCCCGGGGTCCTGGGATCGAGCCCCACATCGGGCTCCTGGCTCGGCCGGGAGTCTGCTTCTCCCTCTCCCTCTGCCTCTCCCACTGCTCATGCTCTCTCTCTCTCTCTGTATCTCTGTGTCTCAAATGAATAAATAAATAAAAAAAAATCTTAAAAAAAAAAATCTTTAAAAAAAAAAAACTATCACAAACCTCATCAGAAAAATCTTGAAGTATTGGGAATTTGTAAAGGTCTTGGTTTTTCAAAGTTCTGGGTTTCGCTTGAAAGCTTGAATTTTATCTTTGACAACAAATACTCAATTGCTTTTCTTGAACTGGCAGATTCACTTCATTTTCAATATAGTGTTTGCCAGATACCCAGTCACAGTTTGTCCATCCCACCCATCCCACCTCTTTTATTGGTACTATCAGTGCAAATGTCAACATAGTGAAAAAAGGTAAATAATTTGATATTATGAAAATAGCTTTTATCTCTCTGAGAAAAATCACTCAAGAAATCTTGAGACCACTTTGCTATAAAAATACATTTTAGAAGAGCAATGTTAGAGACTCACCTGATTTGCAATACAAACCTGCTTTAGTGAAAACAGTAGGTATTATCACAAGGATAGACACGTAGACCAGTGAAACCAAAAGGAATTCAGAAATAGATCCTCATAGGGTCAATTGATTTTTTTTTTCTTCTTCTAAATATGCAAAGGTAATTTAATGGGGAAAACCAGTATATTCAACAAATGGTGATGGAACAAGTACAATAAAGTTCATATAATAAAGTTAAAAAATGAGCCTTCACCCCTGTCTTACATTATATAGAAAAATTACCTTAAAATGGATCATAAATCTAAATATAAAAGCTAAAACTATGAACTGTCTGTAAGAAAACATGGGAGAAAATCTTCATAACCTGAGGATAGGCAAAGATTCCAGAGGATTCTTCATAAAAGAAAAAATTGGGGGGCGCCTGGGTGGCTCAGTTGTTAAGCGTCTGCCTTCGGCTCGGGTCATGATCCCAGGGTCCTGGGATCGAGCCCCGCATCGGGCTTTCTGCTCGGCAGGAGGCCTGCTTCTCCCTCTCCCACTCCCCCTGCTTGTGTTCCCTCTCGCTGTCTCTCTGTCAAATAAATAAATAAAATATTAAAAAAAAAAAAGAAAAAATTTGATAAATTTTGTCAAAATCAAAACCTTCTGTTCTTGACATCTCTAAGAAAATGAAAACACTGGAGAAACTTTAAAAATGGGCTGTATTATATAAAATTATAATTATATATTATAGATATTATATATATAAATTATATAAACTAATACAGCCCAAATTTTTAAATGAGCAACATAATTTGAATAGATATTTCTCAGAAGATATGTGAATGCTTAGTAAGAACTTCAAAACTTGCAACATCATTAGTTATCAAAGAAGTGTAATTGAAACCACAGTGAAGTGCCACCCACAAAATGGCTAAAATTAAAATCACTAACAGTAGTAGCAAGTATTGGTAAGGAAACAGAACAGTCGAAATTCGCCTATACTGCTGGTTGGAATACAAAATAGCGCAACTGCTTTGTAAGAAAAGTTGGTGGTATCTAATAACATTACATGTACACATACCATATAACCCAGTAATTCCATTTTCTCTAAGGAAATAGCTCTGAACTTCAAGTGCTTGGAGGAAAAAAATCTGTGCCTTCTCTGACTGTTTTAATGTCCCTAGAAATATTTCAGTCAAATGCTAGACCTTTTATGTGTGTATGTTGAGTATTGATTAACAATTGAAATCTGGGTCTTGTGTCTTTTACCAAGAAATGCTTGTGAGTAGTTTGGTTTACTTTGTTTTTAGATCTTGGATTCTCTGCGGTGGCGGGACCGGTTTTGGACCGTGGCTGACACAGTAAAAGTGGATGCCCCAGGCCTGGCCCTGCTTGCCCTTCACTGGCACTGGGTTTTGAAACATTTGGTCCGTCACATCCCTCAACTCCTAATGAACCATGAAAACAAGTAAGACTCATATTTTGAGTAATAATGTCAATATCTGTAGTACCAATGATGATAAAAAAAGGTTTGGAATTGAAACTTGTTGCTTTACTTTGGTTGATTCCCTTTGCCTGTTGGTGAATGTGAATCAAATATAAAATGTAAATGATGTCTCTACTATCCAGCATTTCCCCCTTTCCTTACTTCCCTCTTCCCTTTTCTCCTTCTTTAAAGATATTACAAAGAGGTTCAGACGGTCTCAGAACATATTCAGAATTGCTTGGGGAGCCCAACTGGTGGCTTCACTGGTATAAAGAAGTTGCAGAAGTTCCTGGGACGACCATTTCCTTTTAAGGTACAACTTAGAAACATGTCGTAAACACTAAGACTTGACATCTTAAGTTCTCCTGGAGCATGGGGACTGCTATTCAACTAGACTCATCCTTGCCAGTAACACTTAACCTAAATGTTCACAATACTATTAACTGATTTGTGAAGTGTTAACATTTTGCTTATTCTTGGAGAGTATTAAGTCTGGGTAGAGTTTTAACTTTATTACTATAAAATCTCCTGAGAGCAACAGGAGTAAACAAACCTTATGTTTTCTAGAAGCATTGTGGAAGTGTTTCATATTTTTTCTTATACCTGAACAGGTTGCCAAAAAGAACCTCCTTTCTCCTTGATAGTAGGTTCTCCTGGGTTTTGTTGTTTCAGAACAAGCTGGTGGTGGAGTGTTTTTCTCAATTGAAAGTCCTTAACAAAGCGCTTGCCATCAGAGAGCGGATGCCTGCCCTTGGGGAAAGTGGAAGGTGGGAAGACATTAATCATCTCCAAGTGGTTGCTTCTGAATGGACTTTAAAGAAAAGTCTCTTGCGAGCCTGGGGATTGGTCCTCAGAGCTAATATTCTGGAAGATGCCAACCCAGGTAATATACTCTGGAGTTTAGCCTGCTGACAGATGCTGCAGAAGTATTTGCTGCTCTACAGCCAATAAATTTTTAAGTTTTTTCCTTAGATTTTCTTTTTTTCTGCTTGTTTCTTTTCTCTTTTCCTTTTTTTTACTTTTTGTATACTATATCTACCATTAAATACGTGTCAGGCATAGAGTTGGACTTTACATATATTGTTTAATTCTGTCATCAGAATTGTGCAGGTATTAATGACATCATTTCACAGGTACAAAACTTATGCTCAGGTTAAGCTCACAGTCACATAACTAGTTGTTGGGAATCTGAGCCTGTTCTATTGACCACTATGCTATAATGTTGCATGTGTCTTTCTGTCCAGATGAGTTGAAGAATCTTGTGAATGCCCATTGTTTAGAACTAAAAGCCAAAGGAATTTCAGTTGGTTTTCTGGAGAAAAAGCACAATGAAGCTTCCTCCCTGTTCCAACCAGACTTTACCTCCTTAATCCAACTCACCAGGAATGTTCAGTTGTGGCCTGCAATGGAGTACCTGGCGATGCTTTGGCAGTACAAAGTGACAGCTGATTTTATGACACAGGCTTGTCTAAGAAGGTAAGCCATTTTTCCTTGGGAGAACTTTTTTTTTTGTTAGGTTATTCTATGTATCCGACTTGTGAAACAAAGCACAGACTTGTCTTAAAGGGGACTAGTTACCGGGCGCCTGGGTGGCTCAGTTGGTTAAGCGACTGCCTTCGGCTCAGGTCATGATCCTGGAGTCCCAGGATCGAGTCCCACATCGGGCTCCCCGCTCGGCAGGGAGTCTGCTTTTCCCTCTGACCCTCTTCCCACTCGTGCTCTCTGTCTCTCATTCTCTCTCTCTCAAATAAATAAATAAATAAATAAATAAATAAATAAATAAGGGACTAGTTACCAAAACCAAGGGAGGCCTGTTGCCACTGATTCTTTGCTTGTTTTCACTCCACCTCTACAAGTTACTAGGTGTTTTTCCAGTAGAATTGCTTGTTTGTATTTTAATAAATGCACTGTAAATTCTGTGTGTTCATCTTCCCATACATAGCAGATTTCTAGCAGTTTATTGATCGCCCACAACCCATCCTTTCTTCCTCTTTATTTGTGGAACAGGTCCAGCAAAAATCAGCAACCCCAGATAGATGAGGAGATAAGTCATCACATCACATTTTGTCTTAAGCACACACCAATTGGTCCGCGAGAGCTTCGAGACCTTTGGTTCTTATTGCACCATCAGAAGGTAAAAAGGGAGATAAACCTCTATACTATGAGCCAATTAGACATTCTGCGGCAGACTGGTTGCAGAATGTTCTATTTATGTCCGAAACTCCAGTCTTACTTGAATTAACTTTCAAAGGGGAGAATTTTGAGTGTTTTTTGCAGTAATTATCTGGGTATTTCACAACTCTTATTACAGAATCATTGTATTTGGTTTCCAGTTAAATGAGTCTGAAATATGCTTATTTTTATTGTTTGTGCAAAAATACAGTGTGAGAGTGTTTTTAATCTTTCCCCCAAGAATAACTATTGAATGTGAATAGTGGTAAACTGCAGTTAATATAACTTCATTAGTACAACCTTTATTCACTTACCTATTTTGCTGATATTATAATCATGTGATTCACTTATATTTCCTCATGTGCCTTATAAAAAGCAGATCTCAGTTTTATAAAATTATAAACAAGATGATAAGTGGCTTAACCAAGATGACCAGGGTGGCAGGAAATCAGGGACATTAGAATTAATATCTTTAAAACCCATGTTAATTTTAGATGAGTCTTATAAGAGGGAAACCTCATAACTTGATTTATGGAATTTTTCTCAAATATTCTCTTATCTATTTATCTCTAGGTGTCTACTGAAGAAATTATTTCATTGTGGTCTGACTTATTTAATTCCACATTTATGTCTTTTTGGAGCAGTACTGTGACTACAAATCCAGAGTACTGGCTAATGTGGAGCCCTCTGCCTGGTGTACAGCAGAGGGAGATGCCCAAGTCCCTTTTGGACTCCACATTGAAGGTTTGTTGACATAAAATCACAAAAGTGTTTGATAGTGGAAAAAATTTCTTGATCTAGCAATAAACATTTATTCCTAGGACAGAGCAGTAACTAAATAAGTGATTGCAATACTTTATTTTCTGCAGGATGTTAATAAGTATATCTCCAAAAAAGATATTCTATCTTAAATCATTTGGGAAGTTCTGAATTAAAGCAAATAAAGTTAAATATCTTCACTTGGGGTGCCTGGGTGGCTCAGTCGTTTGAGCATCTGACCCTTGGTTTCAGCTCAGGTCATGATCTCAGGGTTGTGAGATTGAGCCCTGCATCGGGCTCCACGCCCAGTGCGGAGTCTGCTGAGGGATTCTTTCCCCCTCTGCTCCTCCCCCTACTCATACTCTCTCTCTCTCTAAAATAATAAAAAAAAAGTCTTCACTTCTCTAATTAAAATACCTTTTTTCGGGGCGCCTGGATGGCTCAGATGGTTAAGCTTCTGCCTTCGGCTCAGGTCATGATCCCAGGGTCCTGGGATCGAGCCCCACTTTGGGCTCCTTGCTCAGCGGGGAGCCTACTCTCTCTGCCTGCTCTGCCTGCTGCTCCCCCCATTTGTACTCTCCCTCTCTCTCTCTGGCAAATAAATAAAAATCTTTAAAAAAAATACCTTTTTTCTAGTTATAAAATATTTTAACACTATAGAAATGTATATGTACGTGTGTATATGTGTGTGTGTATACAGTTGACCCTTGAACAACACAAGGTTTGAACTGCACGGGGTCACTTACACATGGATTTTTCTCAGTAAATATGTATTTTATATTGTATTGAAAAGTAAGGTAGAAGTTGCCAAATGCCTAGAAGCAAAGGGAGGGTAGAGGAAAGATGCAGGGAAGGCTGAACAGCAGGTCTCTCACCTGATTCTGGCACTCCTTATCCCACTACCTGTGCAAAGTTTGGTTCATTGAGGTCTTGACTGAGATAGGTACAAAGGGACTGGCGGGGTGGGGGTTTTCACTGAAGTGGCAGGGCCTGTCATTGGCAGAGTTGGCAGAGGACCACAGAATGATGACTCTCCGAGGTGAGGAGTCTAGAAAAACACCAGGGCACAGGATAAGCGCTAGGCAGGATTCTTGGTGGCCGAGGGGACGGGGGACAGCGGGGAGGGGTGTTGTCCATGGTGCTGAAAGTCCAAGGCAGGCAGTTAATACCACAGGGATAGTGACCCCTGGCTCACTGCTTGCCAGCATTTCCTGTAAGCAGAAACTGTGTTAGAACCATGCAGCAGGGGTCAGTGACCTGGAAAGGTGAGTAATGGTACTCTGCCTTTCCTGGTTCTTTGCCTTTCTCTGGACTCTACATGGAAGGAGATTCTGCATTCTTGGGGAGGAGCAAGTAGCAGATAGCACTCGAGGGTCCAACTCTGCTGACTTTGGGGATGAGAAGACCTGTGGTGTCTTGTTCTTCTGTACTGTACATAAGTTTTTGGGAGTTAACCATTAAATACATGGATTTTTTTATTGCGTGGGAGGGTTGGCACCCCAACCCCTGTGTTCAAGGATCAACTTTACATAGATAGAATTCTGTAGAAATAACCACTCTTTGCCCTGTATCTTGTTTACATATATTTTGTATTAAATGTATATGTAAACAAAATTAAGATCGCTTTCTTTGTTCACATAAGAGGTCATGGAAACATGTCATTCCAGCTTATTCTTTTTAAGGTATTCCATTGTTCTAATGTGCTGGAATTTATTTAATTACTTATTCATAAATGTCGAGATTTCTTGCCTTTATTTCTCCCCTTCCTATAACAAGCATACTTGCATCAACTACTGTTGTGTAAATCTTTGTCTATTTGTCCTAGCATTTCTGTGGATATGTTATAAGAACTGGAATTTAATCCTTGGTCAGAATGTCTGCACAGTTAAAGAAATTTATGGCAATTCTCAGAATGTCTAGGCAGGTGGTTTTTGTTTTTTACTACCCCCCCACCCCGGCCAAGTTTTTAAAATTCCAGTTAGTTAACATACAGAGTAATATTAGTTTCAGGTGTAGAATTTAGTGATTCATCCCTTACATACAACACCTGATGTTCATCACAAGTGCAGTCCTTAATACCCATCACCTGTTTAACCCATCCCCCCTCAACTTTCCCTCCAGTAACCATCAGTTTGTTCTGTATACTTGTCTGTTTCTTTTTTGCCTCTTTCCCCCTCCATGTTCATTTGTTTCGTAAATTCCACATATGAGTGAAATTATATGGCATTTGTCTTTCTCTGACTTATTTCACTTAGCATAATACTCTCTAGCTCCATCCATGTCATTGCAAATGGCAAGATTTCATTCTTCTTTATGGCTGAGTAATATTCCTGTGTGTACACACACACACACACACACACACACACACACGCCTCATAATACTCTCTAACTCCATCCATGTCATTGCAAATGGCAAGATTTCATTCTTCTTTATGGCTGAGTAATATTCCTGTGTGTGTGTACACACACACACACAAACACACACGCACCTGACATCTAATTTATCCATTTATCAGTCGATGGCATTTGGGCTGTTACCATAATTTGTCTATTGTTGATAATGCTGCTATAAACATCAGGGTATGTTTACTTTTTTAAACATGCTAGGAGCTAGTAAAGGGGGAGGTCACAAAGTCCTGGATGATCACAGGAAGACTTAGGACTAGAGCACAATTTCACTTATTGTATCTATAAGAACCTGTTTCTTCATATCCTTGACACACTAGGTGTTATCAACATTTTTAAGTATTGCCAATTATTCAGTTTTTAAAATCTCATTTGAATTTGTACTCCTGATTATTTTTTTGGGATTAAACATCTTTACACATATATATAATGTTTCCTTCTCTGCATTATTCAGTCGTTTATTGCTCATTTGCTAAAAAACAAAATTTGAATTCATCATCATTTTCTTATTGAAGATCTCTTTATTATGGATATTAAAATTTTATCCACCATATGGTTGGAAATATATTTCTGCTGTTCTCTTGTCTCTCAAGTTTTATAATGTTTTCTTTTCGAATACTCTGGCCCCTTTCTATTTTCTGGCTTTGGTGTCATGCTTTTAAAAAAAGTCTTTCTTCACTATCCCTAGAGTTAAAAACCATTTGCCCATATTTTCTTGTATATGTTTGTTTTGTTTTATATTTAAATCATCAGTTACATCTGGATATCTTGTTTTGTGAGGTAGGTATACAAATATTTTATACAAACAGTATATCCAAAAGCAGTATAACAACACCATGTTTTATTAATTCATCCTTTCCACGCTCATTTGAAATGCCACCTTTGTCATACCTTATTCCCACAGATGTTCATGGCTTTGTTTTGGACTCTTCTGTTCTCTTTCTGTATCAAAATTGATATTTTTAATTAAAAAAATTTTTTTTTGTAATCTCTATAGCCAATATGGGGCTCCAACTCATGACTCTGAGATCAAGAGTCACATACTCTTCTGACTGAGCCCAGCCAGGTGCCCCTCAAAATTGATTTCTTTATTGTAACACATTTCTCAGAGCATTTAGTGATAAATCTTATGGATTCCCCAAGAGTTGCAGAGTATACGGTGTTTCTCATTTTATGTATTTAACCACCTAATCCTTCGCTGTGGACAGCTACTAGTGTGTCTCAGATGAATAGTCCAAGGAGCACAGGTTTGACAAACTTTGTCCCTGACTCTTTTTTTTTTTAAGAGATTTTATTCATTTGAGAGAGAGAAAGAGTATGAGCAAGAGAGCACAAATAGGGGGAGAAGCAGACTCTCACTGAGCAGGGATACTGACGTGGGGCTCGATCCCAGGACCCTAGTATCATGACCTGAGCATACGGCAGACACTTAACCAACTGCGCTACCCATGTGCCCCTTTGTCCCTGACTCTTTAACATTTATCTTCTTACTCTTTTCCCTGCTTCCCAAGTTTCTCCTTCCTGCAATGTGCCCCTAGCTCTACTACAAGAATGGTCTTCCTGATGCCCAGGTGGGAGGGATTTTCTTGCAGTAGTAAAGCACCAATTGCTCCTCATTCTTTAAGAATGGAGTCTGTTTCTTTAAAGCCTGCGAACACCTGACCCCAGTCTGCACTCTGGTTGAGGTTTACCTGGTCCAGCAACCTGGACCTCCTTCTCTTACTCTCTTTCTTCCCTCTGAAGTGCTCAGTGCTCAACTGCTTGTTGAAATCCTTTTAGTTAATTTCTAAAAGATACATGACCTCTCTTCATCCATCAGGGCCCCGGCAGTCTCAGTAGAGCTGTATTCTCCAAGTGCTGCTTTGAAGTCTTGACCAACAGCTGCAAAGCAAGTCCCTGGGATGTGAGTGGCTTTCCCATCCTGTCCTCCTCACATGTCACCCTGGGAGAGTGGGTTGAGAGAGCCCTGCAGCTCCGGGACATCAGCCTGGTGCTTTGGACCAACATGGCTATGCCTTCAGTCGCAGAGTTCAGGTATTCTTACATGCCCCTGCCCCCCCGCCACCCGTAGACTGTAAAGGTCTGTCTTTCCTACAGAGCATGTAGCAGAAAACTCAGTCAGAACTTGTTTCTGTAGAAGCTAGTTTTGGTGGGTGAAGGCAAGTATATTTTCTGGCTGGATCAGCAAGTTTTTAGCCCATGACAGGCTATTATGAGCTGGCCAGTGCCTCTGTCAATTTTAAGCTTATTGTGATAAAGAGAGTGGTGCTTGGAAAAGCATGTAAGATTACTTGAGAAGAGAAATTCACCTTTAGCTATTGGCAGTGCAGTCTGCCGTGTCATTTTCTGAGAGAACGATAGTGTGAGAAAGGAATGCTGTTTGATGTAGTACAAACTCTTAAATGCTTCCTTATCTCTACAGACGCACGGATTCACAGCTCCAGGGGCTTGTGCTGTGCCGGCACCTGGCAGGTTTGGCAGAGCTGCTCCCTGAGCCCCGGCGGCAGGAGTATATGCAGAACTGCGAGCAGCTATTGCTCGGGGACAGCCAGGCCTTCCAGCATGTGGGCCAGACTCTTGGGGACATGGCTGGGCAGGAGGCTCTGCCCAAAGAGCTGCTATGCCTCTTGCTCACCTCCCTGCGCCACTTGTTTGGGGAAGGGGATGGTAAACAGGACCTTCCTGAGCCAGCCCGCCGTGGGAGCCTCTGGGTGAGCCTTGGCTTGCTCCAGATTCAGACATGGCTTCCGCAGGCACGCTTTGACCCTGCAGTGAAGAGAGAATACAAACTCAAGTATGCTAAGGAAGAGGTATGGAGGAGTGAGAGTTTGGAGCATGAGCTCCATCCCTGACTGGGTGGGTTTGCTTAGTATATTACTCCTTTTATTGCTTTTTGGATGCTTAGAGCATCAGAGGGATGATTTTGCATAGGCTGCTCTGTGACATCCCAGGAGTGTGTTCTAAAGACTGCATTTTCCTCCTTGAGAGTTCCTCTAAGTAAGCTTAGGTACTTGGAGGGGCCCTTCCTAAGCTTCTGATGCATTTGCCAATAGGCTGCAGTAGACGGAGGTCACAACAGTCAAACACCTGAGGCATTGCCAGAGAACTAGTGGTATTTCTCCTATCCATACACTCTCTACCTGAACTAAATTTTGAATATTTGGACTTGGATAATTTCTTTTAGATATGGTATGGTATTCCTCAGGTTTTAAAGTTTGGGTGTTTGTTATCTAAAATTCAAGAATCAAGTAAATTTAGATTAAGTGGCATTCCTCAATAGTTGAACTTCTAACCAAACTGAGGAACTGAATACATAAAGATAGTGATATAATTTTCCTTCTTCAAAATATGGAACTAGTATATGAGTTGGTAAAGACTAAGCTGCTATAGCAGAGTCCTAGAAGTTCAGTGGTGTGAATAAGATAGTTTCTTTTACCTAATAGCTCTAAGGTGAGTGATCCAGGTTAATGGAGCAAAAACCCCTGCTCTTGGATCATTCAAGAGCCCAGGTTCCTTCCATCCAGTTGCTCTGCCCTTCCCCAGGGCATTGTCCTCCTGGACATGGTCATAGCTGGGCACAGCAGACCAGCTTCTTCCCTTTCTCTTAGTTACACCAGCTGCAGTGTGAGTGGAAGACCCGAAACCTCTCGTCCCAGCTACTGACTGGAACAGACCTGGAAAATGAAGTCATTATCCGTTACTCTCATCCTCACATCAGGTAACAGCAGAGTAATTGTGTTGTGCTGTTTTTTTGTTTTTGTTTTTTAAAGACATTTTGAGGTTGACCTTTGCAGTGTAATTGCAATGTTAGAGGTGATAATACATGTCTCTACATTAGCAATTAGATCCTAAAGCCATGGTTATGGTCAGGAAAAATTAATACTCTGAAAGGAGGGGCAGGATTCACATAGGGCCAGGTGGGTTGAAACCAGAACTTATTTTCAACATGATAGAAGTTGGATCTGATGATGTGCACTGTGTGGGTTTGTTGTCTTGGTAAATATTGTGTAGTGTAGTAGGTCTGCATTCCAGTCCGGTTCCTGTCCTTTGGCTTTAGACTTTAAGGAGATCACTTAATGCCTTTGAGCCTCAGAGTCCGTGTCTGTAAGAGGAGGATCATAGCGACTACTTAAGTGAATTGTGATTAGACTTTGATGAAATATGCATCTACATTGCTTAACACCATGTGTGGTATGTGATAAATGATCTCTCTGTATTATTCATTTACATTATAATTGTCAATATTTTCTTCATATTATTCCTCAGTAGCTGATCTGCCTTCATTCTGTTTTCCTGAGCTAAAGACTCAGTCTAGATTTGCTGTTTTTCACCTGACAGAATTTGCATATTGTGTTAATTTGCCTTTAGACTACTTCGCCAAAGAATTGATCATCTGGAGAACTTAATCTGCAGCCTGTCAAAGAAGCAGGCCTTTAGACCCCAGGTGCCTGCCTACGAGTCACTGGTGCAGGAGATCCACCACTATGTCACCAGCATTGCCAAGGCCCCTGCTGTTCAGGATCTGCTCACACGGCTCCTGCAGGCCCTCCACATGGATGGGCCTCGGTCTGCCCAGGTGGCCCAGACCCTTCTGAAGGAGGAAGCTTCCTGGCAGCAATCCCACCACCAGTTCAGGAAGCGGCTGGCAGAGGAGTATGCCCTGTATCCAGACTCTGTGGCCCCACTGCAAGCATCCATCCTGCAGTTGCAGCATGGCATGAGGCTGGTGGCATCTGAGGTCTACGCTTCATTCCAAGGCAGTGTGGTCTGTGCAGACAGGCTGGGCACCCTGGCCACATCCCTGTTGGCTTTTCCATCGGTGGGCCCCACCTTCCCCACTTACTATGCTCATGCAGACGCTTTATGCTCAGTGAAATCAGAGGAGGTTCTTCGAAGCCTTGGGAAGTTGCTCCTCAAGCGCTCAGGAGGAAAGGAGCTGGAAGGCAAGGGCCAGAGACCTTGCCCCACTCGAGAGCAGCTGCTGATGAATGCCCTCCTTTACCTGCGCTCCCATGTGCTATGCAAGGGAGAGCTGGACCAGAGGGCCCTGCAGCTCTTCAGACATGTATGCCAGGTAAGCCCATTTCTGGGGGTCCAGCCCCGGCCTCCTGCTGCAGGGAGCTGGGAGCACAAGAGGGGCATCTGTAGGACATTAGCAATACCCTGTGTAGAAAGACCCATGTGGTTGGGCAGTGGTATCTAGTGTCTTCCTTTCTGACTCCTATTCAACTGTCAGTTTGGGGGGTCTTTGTCCCTCAGTTTTTAAGAGTTTAGAAAAAAATCAGTGAAGTTAGCTCTTTATCTGTGATACACACTGCAAGTATTTTCCCCTAGTTTATTGTTTGTCTTTTGACTTTATTTATGGTGGTTTTTGCCAGGTAATAGTATCAGCTTATTAAGAAAATCTGTTTTCCTCTTACCAATGAAAACAATTTGTTCTCAATTTATATAATTAAAAGAATAAACATAAATGAAACTTACTAGATTTTACCACTTAAATAAGCTGTATAACTGTTAACATACTAGTGCGTCCCATTCTGGGTTTATTTGTATACATGTATCTGTACATGTATGTCTATGACATTATAAATTTAAGTCATTTATCCCAGTGGTTTATAAATTTTTGTTTTTTAGCAGAACTCTTTTTAAAATAAAAGCCTTATACTAGTTTCCCGATATGTAATAGATAAAAGGTGTGCTTTAATTGAGGACAGTTCTGTCCCCTCTGTGGTCTCTGAGACTGGTCTTTAAGTTGCTACAGTTCTGCACACCACTGTTAAAATCCATTCTGTTTTATACTTCGCTTTAAAAAACTTAACAGCATTTAGTGATTATTTTCCTCCATAATTACGGTATTCTTTACCTACATCATATTGAATGGCTGCCTAGTTTTCTATTATATGGCTATGCTCTAAGACATTTAACTAATTTCTTATCATTGGACACTTATTTTTTTTTTCTTTAAAGATTTTATTTGTCAGAGAGGGAGAGAGAGAGAGCACAAGCAGGAGGAGTGGGAGAGGGAGAAGCAGACTCCCCGCTGAGCAAGGAGCCCGACGCAGGACTCAATCCCAGGACTCTGGGATCATGACCTGAGCTGAAGGCAGATGTTTAACGAACTGAGCCACCCAGGCGTCCCATCATTGGACACTTAATATTTGTAGTCTTTTTACTATCTTAGAAAACATCACCACCACCATCACCATAAATAGTCTTATACCTAGGTCTTTGGATACAAATTCTAGAAAGCAGAATTGCTGCGATGAAGATTAACCACTTAGGTTTTTAATACAGATTATCTTTCTGAATGGTGGATACTCATTTCCTCAGTTCTCATCAGTACTGTTTATAGTTTTTGCCAACTTAAGGACTTAAAATCTTAGAGTTACTAGGGATTTAAGAAGTGTCTGATAAGGCATAGCCCAGTTTTGTCTGATTGGTGCCCTGCAACCATCCTGCCCCCAACCCACGTTTCCCTTTCCTGAACTTCTGGGCCAGCTGCTTGAGTTGTTAGCCAAGTGCAGTCTGAATCACAGCCCCCACATTGCCTACCCAGAGCCTGTCCTTAGTACAAAACATAATTAACTCCTGACAGGAAGTTCCAGTGGCATTAACTCTACTGTAGCAAGTTTCTACACCTGTGAAAAAGTAGCAATACATCAAGGGGGAATTCAGCAAATGGGTTGCTGCAGAAACACAGTTTGAAAAGTTCATTTGCTCTCTATTACCTGGGATTTAGTTTCTTGGACATTGGCGTTTACTTGTTTTTGAACCATGGTACTTTTGTTATCATGAGAAATTAAGAGATAACAAGTTTTGCTTTGTTCATTTAAGCACCTCAGCAAAGACAAACAAGTTTCCTTCCAAATGTGTAACTTTTCAGGAAATTATCAATGAGTGGGATGAACAGGAACGCATAGCCCAAGAGAAGGCCGAGCAGGAAAACAGCCTTTACAGATACAGGAGCAGGAACTCCAGGACAGCCCTGAGTGAGGAGGAGGAGGAAGAACGGGAGTTCAGAAAGCAGTTCCCACATCATGAAAAGGTTGGGTGGTTGGTAACAGGGTTTGTTTGGGAATAATTTCCCTTGATACCACCTGTGTTACCTTTGACTGGTTTTGTAATCATCCTTTTTACTACATCTTTATGTAAGTCACTACTTCATTTTCTTGATTGTTCATGCTTCATCTTTGCCCCTTTCTTTTGGCTTAGGCCTGGATTTTGATTTTTAGCAGTTCAATTGCTCTAATGTTATTGACAGGATTTTGCAGATATTCTGGTAGAACCAACACTGGAAGAGAAGAAGGGAACTTCAGATGGGCAAGAAGAGGGAGCAGCCACAGACCCTGCTCTCCTGTCCCAGAGCACCATGCAAGCTGTGATGCTGATTCACCAGCAGCTGTGCCTCAACTTCGCTCGGACCCTCTGGTACCAAAAGACTCTGCCGCCACACGAGACAAAGCATTACCTTGGCCTGTTTCTGTCCTGCTATCAAACTGGGGCGTCTCTTGTGACACACTTCTACCCTCTGATGGGTATGACAGTTCACTTTTGTTATACTCTTGGAAAATGAAAATGAATAAATGTGATTGCTAGTTCTGGAACAATTAAAATCATTACTTCCCTGTTTTTTGCTAAATTCCTTATTGAGGGAGTTTCCTTAGCTTAAGAGACTCAAGCTACTTCAAAAAACTTGGTTTAAAATTCTGCAGTAGTGGATTTTTATCATTTGAATACTTTGGGGTGAAGGGATTAAAAAAGATAAGGATATGGACTTAGTTTAGATGGTTTTGTTCCTCAGTATTATTTCTAATTTGCCTCTAATAGCTTCGGTGCTTTTCAAATCACATATTCCTGGGAGCAACCTGGGAACTCAGAAATTAATCTTATAGAATTTCACTTGATTCAGTTTCCTGTATGATCTCATGAGTTATTCCTTGCTATTAGGAAGGAGGCTTTAAATTTCTTTCTGCCTACCAAGACAGCCACAAAAACCAGGAAATTGAATCCATCAAACCAAACTCTGTAGCTTCTCGATAACAGCCAAATATATGAGTTCCTCTGTATTTCTGAGAAGCTTGGCAGATTTGATGATATTCCTTTGACATTAGGGTCCTAGTCCTCTAGGCCCATGTTGCTTTGGGCATGAATGGTGTTGAAATATCTTCATTAGTTCCAGTAGTTCATTATTTCTGAGCATGTTTTTGTCATCTTTGTAACTTGATAGCTTAGCCTACTGAGTTCACTGACTTTACTATGATGTTGTTAACTTCCTAGGAGCTGAGCTGAATGACCAACTCTTGGGCAGCCAACTTTTGGCCTGCACCCTCTCCCATAACACTCTCTTTAGTGAGGCAATCTCAGATCTGATGGTGAAGCCTGATGGGCCCTATGACTTCTACCAGCACCCCAATGTCCCAGAAGCAAGGCATTGTCAACCTGTGCTTCAAGGTTTCTCGGAGGCTGTTATTCAGCTGCTGCAGGATTGGCCAGAACACCCGGCCCTTGAACAGGTAGGGCAGCTGGTGAGGAGCGAGCCCTGAGGATACGGTCTGCCATCTCCAGGAGGCATTCATGTGTACATTTCAATATATAAACAAAGGTTCGCAGAACCCCACTTCAGTGGACACTACTCACTGCAGGATGGACATACCAGTTTGTACTGCTGTTGTATAAATGATGTCTGGGATTCTACTAATTTTATTTGTTGGTCAGATTTTGCTGTCCACATGTTAAAATGCTGTTGTATTGCTTGGTTTATTCAGATACCTATGTATATTAGCAAAGGCCTTGCTTTTTCAAGATTGGCAATTTTAACTCAGACCTCACTTGTAGTCTTCAGCCAATTTTGTAATAATTCTTATAATGGAGAGTGGTTAAGATGGCTGGCTCAGTCAGAAGAGCATGTGACTCTTCATCTCTAGGTTGTGAGTTCGAACCCCACATTGGCTGTAGAGATTACTAAAAAAAAATAATAATAATAATAATCTTCCCAAACTCTGTGTCTTTTCTAGAGTAATGCAGATAAAATGTTTATTTTAGATCCACAGTCCTGGAAGTTTCCTCCATGGCTTTCACAGGTGCTTGTGTAGCAGGGACTTTGCATAAAACTTTCATCAGGTCACTCTTCAGTACCCTGTGACTTTGGATGATGATATTCCCACAGAGATACCTAGATCTTTTTCCTTTTTTTCTTTTTCTTTTCTTAATTTAATCTTTGAATTAAATTTATTTTTTAATTTACTTGATTTTGTTTTGTTTTTTTATTTTTATTTATTTTCTGCAGCTGCTGGTTGTAATGGATAGAATTCGTAGTTTCCCACTTTCCAGTCCCATCTCAAAGTTCCTGAATGGCTTAGAGATCCTTCTGGCTAAGGCACAGGTAAGATAATTCTCTCTCTTCCTCATTTTATTTTATTTTATTTTAAGATTTTATTTATTTGACAGAGAGAGTCACAGTGAGAGAGGGAACACAAGCAGAGGGGGTGGGAGAGGGAGAAGCAGTCTCTCCGCCAAGCAGGGAGCCCGATGCGGGGCTCGATCCCAGGACCCTGGGATCATGACCTGAGCTGAAGGCAGACACTTAATGACTGAGCCACCCAGGTGCCCCTCTCTTCCTCATTTTAGTTTGTAGTCAATTGAAAAAAGATTATCTTCTGGCAGAGTTATTGTTAGAGGGACAGAAAGTTATAGTTTGGATTGGAGAGAGGGATAAGCTTCCTTGGTTTTTCTGGCATGGGGTCAGATCATTACAGGTGAAGCCATTGCCTTATGGGGCATTTGAGGGATCTGCCTTCCCTGTTCTCAAGGGTGGGATGCAGCATCTGCTGGTACTGAGGGCTCCTTCGGCCCGGGCTTCCTGGTGGGCTTTCAGACTAGCCCCGTGCCTGCACATGTCATCCCCCTCTGTCCTCTCACAGCCTCTGAAGTATCTGGTGTTTCTCTAATTATCACATTAGGGTTCTGCACTTTGGAGGGGGTCACATGTCTAACAATAGCAATTCAGACTCATCTCCCTAAATCCTTTGCTTTTTGCCTAAATTTGGCTTTGCTGAAGTTCTGTCAGGTGACCAGAAGCAAGTAGAAGCTTGATACACTGGATATAAACTCGTTGCTCTTGGTAAATTGGCATAAAAGTTATTTAGGGGCCCATTGGTCTTCACTCAAGGACAAAAAGTCCAAGATATTCCTGAGGGCGGGAGGTGATTAAGGGGTTGAATAATGGCCACAGTAAATTTTATCTTTGCTTTTTAGGATTGGGAGGAGAATGCGAGTCGAGCTCTATCTCTGCGGAAACATCTCGATTTAGTCAGTCAGATGATCATTCGTTGGCGTAAACTGGAACTGAAGTAAGTGTTAATCTGTCACTTCCCTTCCCCTCCCAAATTTATGCTATAGGATCATTTGATAGTTTGTTTCTGCAGAGTTTATGTGGTAAGACTGAGAATGTGCTTTTCAGTTATTAATCACAGAATTAAAAGCAGGGCATTAAAATGACCTCTGTAGAGAGCAGACAACAGCATACCTTCCCAAGGCAGCAAACCAGATGTCTTCTCCATTTCCACTTGGGAGGAGAGCATAGTGAACGTTTAGCTTCTGCTTCAGTGGTTTCAGATCTTTCAAATGGGTTTCTTTAAATGCCTGCTTGGCCTCTTCTCTCACATTTCAGCTGCTGGTCTATGAGTTTGGATAATACCATGAAGCGCCATACTGAGAAATCCACCAAGCACTGGTTCTCCATCTACCAGATGCTTGAGAAGCATATGCAGGAACAAACAGAGGAGCAGGAAGGTAACACTGTCCATAAATTCCCTGCGTAGTTAGAAGTTGCAGGCTAATTGTAGAGTGCTGCAGAGTGTGGGGTTTACCTCTTCCCATGTCTCCTGGCACTGCTGCTTTTACATGGGGGTGTGTCGTTAGACTTGATGGTATTCCTCAGAGTTTTAAGTGACTTTTCCAGATTCTAGAAAGCTAGTCATAAGGTTTCCTTATTCTGTGTATCCAAGAGACTAGTCAAAATGAAGTTTTTTCTTCTTAGGTACTAGTTGACATGCTTGAGTTAAAAGTGTTTTCATTTCATGCTTAAAACAAAACCTTATAATTCAGTTTTATAATTTGCTGTGAGTGCATTTAACACATATCCTGAGTGCAGCTGTTTTTATATCAGCTTGGAATTTACCTGTGGTCCTTGCTTCAAAGTTTCACTTCATGGTCTCTACTTACCTTCCATCCCTCAATGTATCCCATAATAGATTACATGCATGTTATAAATATGGAGTGATGGTTGCAGGTACATATGTTTTCTTCTTTGAATCTCTAAAGATGACAAACAGATGACCCTTATGTTGCTGGTCAGCACGTTACAAGCATTTATTGAAGGATCATCACTGGGAGAATTCCACGTACGACTTCAGATGTTACTGGTTTTCCACTGTCATGTCTTGTTGATGCCTCAAGTTGAAGGAAAGGGTAAGGAGGGAGGGGTGTGTGTGTGTGTGTGTATTTTTTTTTTAATACTTTTACACTGCATTGTTTAAATGGGTTAGGCTTTGAATTCTCCATAAGATAGGTATCTTGTTGCATACCAGGTCTTTCTTTCTTATTTATTTATTTATTTAGAAAGATTTTATTTATTTGAGAGAGAGTGAGAGTGTGCGGGGCGGGGTGGGGGGCAGAGACAGAGAATTGACTCCACACTGAGTACGGGGTGTCATGTGGGGCTCGATCCCACAACCAATGAGATCATGACCTGAGCTGAAACCGAGAGTCAGACCGCTTAATTAACTGAGCCACCCAGGCACCCCTGCATACCAGATTTTAAATGAGACACTTTTAATCATCTTTTACTTTGAAGTGATACACATTAGATACAGAGAACAACATTAAAGTACAAACTGGTTATAAATGAAGCCCTGACTATTGGATTCTGCCTGAGGTAAATTGCCAAATGCAGATCTTGGAAATCAATGTGTTGAGGAGTGTATATCTTTCTGTCTAGACAGTGTTAGATGTCCTGCTAAGCTTTTGTTTGGTCCAGGCCATAATTAGATCCTTTGCTCTAGTGAGAGCTCTACTCCGTATCAAGTAACTGCACATAAAACGCTGTCAATTACTGTCCCTGACCACACCTATTTGAATGAAATGAAACTAGGACTATAGGTTGTATGTGAAGGAGCAGTCAGGGTGAGCTTCTTAATAGGCCATCTTTTACAACAGGCTCAGTTTCTGCTTACTTTACAATAAGATTCCGAGAAAGGGTTTGAAATTGTGTTTAGTGGAACATCTGAGTACACCGTCTTTAAGGACAAAAGTGCAACAAAATTCAGTCCAACCTGAAATGAAAAAATGGGGTAGTGTTGACAGCCTGCCAGCATCTCTGGGAACTGCTAGACATAGGCTCCCTGATGAGCTGTTACATAATCTGCCTGTGAAATGTGCTGTAATCTCAGGGTCTTAAAATAATGAGGAAGGAGCATCACTAAAATGTGGAGCCCACAGGTGCGGCAAGTGTGGTGTTTTTGTTTTCTTTTCATTTCTTCCAGATTCACTTTGCAGTGTTCTGTGGAATCTGTACCATTATTACAAGCAATTCTTGGACCGGGTCCAAACCAAAATTGTGGAACTTCGTTCCCCCCTTGAAAAAGAACTTAAAGTAAGATGAGCAACTGTCATGACCACTCTTGGGAGAACAAAATCAGCAAATTCTTTTTAGTTCTGTTCTTTTGTCCATTTAACTATGAGGCAGGGGGCTCTTGGGGAATGGAGGAGAGCGTTGCAACTGCCAAGTAGGTTGGCAAGATTTACATTTTGTGGAATTGCCTCCATTACCGACCTGTCCAAGTGTGTGAGGGGTTAGTGGAGTGGCCCCTGTCAAAGGCTCCTCAAGGGGATTGCCACATAAGTCTGTTAGTGCTCCCTCCCCTGCTCTTGCCCAGGCTGATTTTCCACCTGAGGGGGTTGCCATTTAGTGTTGAGTGTCATCAAGATGCCTTGGGGGAAAGGAGGGCCCTGTCTTTTGATAACTCTCAGTGGTTGTGGAACCAGCAAATGGAGTACATATCAGGTGACCTGTTGATTGTGGCAGCACTCTTTTTTCATTGCTTTGTGACAAATACGTGGTTCCTTTTTTAAACTCGTTTTACTTATTTACTGGTACATAGTCCGGTATTTGGGATGGAGTGGGCTCTGGTCTTTAGCAAACAGATGATTTAGAAGGAAATAGAATGACACCAGCTTTATAAAGCCATTCCTTGATCTTCATGTATCTTACAGGAATTTGTTAAAATATCCAAGTGGAATGATATCAGCTTCTGGTCCATTAAACAATCTGTGGAAAAGACACACAGGTAATTCGTTTTTTAAAAAATTGGGGGTGACAGGGATAACTTCGTGCTCAGTTGGTTAAGTGTCCAACTCTTGATCTCAGGGTCATGAGTTCAAGCCCTGCATTGGTTCAAGGTCATGAGTTCAAGCCCTACTTAAAAAATTGGGGGTGACCAAAGCTCAGAACTTTTGTATGGTAGGTAGCAAGACTACATTGTTAATGTGGCCTTAGAGTTGCCTTGAACTTACTATGAAGCATTAGATTGTTTTGGTGTGGCTTTTCAGCAGCACCCTTACCACCCAAAGCAAAGTCTACATACAAAAGGAATTGGTGTGCTTTGAGACAAGGCAGGCTAAGCACTATAGAAGGGTTGAGTCTTCTATCACCTACTAGCTGTTTTACCTTGAACGAAGTGATCCCACCATTCCTGGCTTCAGTTTTTTTCTTCTAGAAAAGGGAGATGACAATACCTGCCCTACTTTTCCTTAAAAACAAACAGGATGGTTATGAGTATCTAAGGAGTCCAAGTATACAGAAGGTACAGGTTATTAAGTTATGTGTGTATGCATTATGCCATTTTTACATTCCCTCATCTGTCATTCTGTGGGGCCAGGACCCTCTTTAAATTCATGAAGAAATTTGAAGCTGTCCTGAGTGAACCTTGCCGGTCATCCTTGGTGGAGAGTGACAAGGAGGAACAGCCTGATTTTTTGTCACAGCCAGCAGCCACTAGTGAGGCATCCCCCATTCAGAGTCTGAACAAGGCACTGAGGGAGACGCTGTTGGCCCGGCCGGCAGCTGCACAGGTACACCTTGGGAGATAATGTTTGCTTATTCCTGGGCCAGTCAGGGGAGATCTGTGCTTTCTCTGTAAGGAGTGTCCCTAGAACTAGGCAAGGGAATGCCTTTGAAATCTTACTCTTTGGACAAATACAGTATTTGTATGTCTGCCTGATACTGCTGCATAATAAGGCAAAAAGCATCGGTCCTGTTGCTGAAAGATAAATGTCACCTATGGGAAGTAAGCATTGTGCTTACCTGTGAAGATTGCCATCTACCTGTGACAGAAGACTCGAAGCATCAGTTGAGGAATACGCCACTGAAGCTGCCTTTGGGCTACCCCATGATGAAGCTGCTGCACAGGGAACAAATGTGTGCAGTGATGTGTTGATTGTGGTGGTTGCTGATGACTGTGCTATTATTTCTCTCATCATGGTCAATTTCAAGCACCAACAGTTAAGAGTTGGCTTGCAAAATTCCAGAAAATATAACAGTCATGGAGACCTTGGGTGAGCAGGTCTGTTACAGGATGTGTGTTCCCACATCATATCCTTAGATGTAAGGAGCTCTGGGATCATCAGGGAGCTACCCATGCTAGCCACAGGGAAGAATCCCTGAATCTCCTATGTTGTCATCAATAGCAAATCTAAGTTTTTGATCAGTGTGACAGAAAACAGTGAGCTGATGAATATAATCAAAAGAAAATAAACTTGGCACCCATATCTTATTTGTGCTCTGTCTCACAGGCTGTGATTCCAGAACAGTGTCAGGGTGCTCCTTTCCCCTCGGAAGGAGAGCTGCTGTGTCGCTTGCCGAAGCTCATGAGACGAATGAGGAAGATGTGCCTGACACTTATGAAGCAAAGCCGCCTGCCTCACCTAGTGGAGAGCCTCGATCACTTCACAGGTGGGTGCCAGCAGCCGGGGCAGAGGGTTGGGTTTGCTCTCTCAGTTTTCCCCAGTGCCCCGAGAGGGTGGGAATTGGTTACGTCCGCCCTTTTTTGATCTCTTGAATAGTGTTGAGCAGTTAAGTGAATAAACAAATGGGCTAAAAACTAACAGAGCCCAGATGCATGAGCCAGCTGAGACCACACAAGCTGTCTTAATTTTCATCTTGTCTTCCTCTCATGTAAACTAATGCTTTGTTATGCCATTTTCTACAATAACCTTGTCTATGTCAGCTCTTGTTGGTTGGAGAGATGGATTTCCCAGAATCCGTAAACTATCCCTACCTCTCAACATGTCTCCCTTGCGTTAAAGGAGAAGTTTCATCCACAGTTTTCTTCTTGCTGTCTTCACTGTGGAGAGACCTAGCAGTTTCATCTCCCTGGCTGTCCTAGCACAGGGAAGCTGAGAGCCAAGATTTGCTCTGTAGTATAATAGCAATGGCTGGGGAAGGAATTCCAGAATTTCATAGATCGAGGTCTTGGCAGCCTTTACTACTGTCCCCACCCCTCTTCACCCCCAGTGAGTGTGGTATCAGAGTGAGACTGGTCCTTCTTCAGTGAGGCTACAGTCTGATCTCAGGGAGCTCTTTATTTTTAGAACTTGTTAGAATAATAGCCTAATAATATCCATTCTCAAGATGACCTTGCCTGCCTGAGCCTGATGATCAGGGTAAACAGAAGGTTCCATGTGCATCTTCCGGAAAAGGTACCCACTCTGATGCAAAGAATTCTCTAACCTCCTGCAGTGTCCGTATAATGGTATGCAGTACACTTGCTCTCTTCTGGAAGGTTAGACTGCCTGTGTTAGTTTGCTAGGGCTCCCTTAACAAGTATCACATATTGGGTGGCTTAAACAAGAGAAATTAATTTTCACACAGTTCTGAGGTTAAACATACAAAATCCAAGTATCCACAGGTTTGGTTTCTTCTGAGGCCTCTCTCCTTGGCTGGTAGATGTCTGTTTTCCTTCTGTGTCTTTACATGGTCTCTCGTGTCCTACTCTTCATTAAGGACATCAGTCAGGTTGGATTAGGGCCCACCCACATGGCATCATCTTACTTTAATTACCTCTTTAAAGGCCTTGTCTCCAAAACAGTCACATTCTGAGGCACTGGGGGTTAGGACTACTGTAACATGAATTTTGGGGGACACAGCCCATAACACTGCCAATGGCAGGCAGGCAGCAGCCTCATGTTACAGGTACCTGTGAGTCCTGAGCAAAGCAGTGTGGTGCTGGAGAAAGAACTTAGGTTTCAGAGTTGTTTTGGCCAGGGGTCATGTCCTGTCTTCTAGTCCACTCTTTAGCTGAATAGACTTTAGAAAGTGACTAGATCTTTTTGCGCCTCTCCAAGCAGCTAGAAATCTGCTCTTCTGGAGTTGTACAGAGTATGGGAACATCTACCAACTAGGTACAGGATAGGACCTCAGTATATATCATATTTATGGGAAATTTATCTCAGATGATTTAAATTCTTACACATAGTGCTCAACAAGTGCTTTTTGCATGATCGATTATAAACCCCTAAATTAAAAAAAAAAGAATAACTACTTTTATTTGGGTTGTTTGTTGTTGAGAGAGATGAAATCCATGAGTTTTTATTTTCTATTTCCATGAATCTTGATTCCTTTAATTTAGAATTTACAGAACGCTAGGGACTATACTAGTTATCAGAGCCTTAGAGATGACTGTCACCTAGTTCTTGTTTCCCACAAAGTTCTGGGTCTTGAGTATCAGGTTTTTTTTGTTTTTGTTTTGTTTTCTAAAGATTTTATTTATTTATTTGATAGAGACACAGCGAGAGAGGGAACACAAGCAGGGGGAGTGGGAAAGGGAGAAACAGGCCTCCCGCTGAGCGGGGAGCCCGATGCGGGGCTCGATCCCAGGACCCTGGGATCATGACCTGCGCCGAAGGCAGACGCTCAATGACTGAGCCACCCAGGCGCCCCTTGAGTATCAGTTCTAACACATGAATAAGCCCTTTAGATTTCAGTAGTGCCTCGTTTTCTCCTCAGGTGAAGTAATTTCCTGTGTGAGCGAGCTGCAGAGCTTAAAGCTGGAGCCCTCAGCCGAGAAGGAGAAGCAGCGGTCAGCAGCCAAGCATATCCTCCTGCGGAAGCAGCGAGCATTAGCAGACCTCTTTCAGCACCTTGCAAAAGCTGGTAAAGTTCTCACTTGAAACCTGATACAGAATGATGACCAGCTATTAGGGAGGAAAACACCGTGGGTGATTCGGGGGAAATTTCTAGAGACAGTTGAGATGGTGGGGAACAGAAGGTCGTAGGCCAGGTTTTGAAATGCCATTCTGAGAGTTTGGTCACGTATGAAATTCCTCTCATGAACCATTTGTGATTCCCAAATATTTTCATAGTTTTGTAATGAGGTTTCTCAGAAACCGTGCTTTATTTTCATCACCTTATGTTGTACAGCACCCACCCTTTCAACATAGCTTAGTAAGCAACATTTCTCAAACTCTAGTGCGTGTACAAATGACTCGGGCAATCCCATTGAGTGCAGTAGTTCTGTTTCAGTAGGTGCAGGGCAGGGCCTCACAGCCTGCTTTCTAACAAGCTCCTGGTGCTGTTCCAAGGACTTTATTTTGAGTAGCAGTGGCGTGGGATGGGGGGTAGGGCATGGCACATTCATTCTCTTCTGAGTTTCTTAAACACATGCTGTTTATTTCCTAGGTTTGTCGTATCGCAAAGGTCTTGCCTGGGCCCGTTCAAAAAACCCTCAAGAGATGCTTCATCTTCACCCATTAGATATCCGGAGTGCATTGTCTATAGTCAGCAACATTCAGGAGGCTGATTCTAGGTTTGTTTTTTAAATCATAAATACAACAAGTAGTTTAAGTCTCCATGTCCTTATTTGCCAAAATGGGGATAGAATCTCTCTCTCCTAGTGTTGCTGAACAGATACCATTTGGAAAAGTGCCTGGCTTGAAGTATTCACACTCTTGACTTTCGGTTGTGACTAAATAATACCAGTCTCTGAGTCTTCAGGATCTGGGGTAGGAAATAGTGGTGTTAATTAAGTTAATCATGTTGAGTTTTTTTCCAGGCTGCTTACAGAAATCTCATCATCATGGGATGGATGCCAGAAATATTTCTTCCGCTCCCTCGCACGGCATGCCAGGCTTAGTGCAGCCTTAGCAGCACCTGCCAAGGTGGGTGATAGAACCTCCGATTGCAGGGGCCCAGGAAAGCTCCCGTTTTGTTCCTCCAGGGCACCATTCTCAGCTCTTGTCAAGTGATCGGAGCCCATTACTGAAAGTGACTGAGCTTTTTGCAGAATATCATTAAACTGACAATATAAATCAGTGTAATTTTGTGTTTAATCAGAGAGCATTTTGTCATAAATTCTCTTAACTTACATTTGCCAACAAGACCAAATGCATAAGAAAAGTTATGTAAGAAAAGCCTCAAGTAGAGAATGCCGTCTTCAGGTCTTTTTCCCTTTGTGAATTGGGAAAGACCACTAATGTTGATGCTAAACCTAGTCCCTGTTCATGGAACATCAATGATCTGTGGAAGCATAATTTGAGAAGCCCTGCTCAAAAAGATGAATGTGCTGCTTTTAGACTGCAGTATACACCCACAGTTTATCTAAGCAAGGGCGCTTTCCCCAGAGAGTATGGGATGGCCGGGCTTTCTCGTGACACCAGCATGGGTGGTAGTGTTTGCCAGCAACAGCCTTGGCATGCTTCCTTCTTCCCCTGCCAGGAGGTGGGCATGAGCAACGTTGAGCGGTGCAAAGGCTTCTCGGCGCATTTGATGAAGATGCTTATCCGACAGCGGCGCTCCCTGACCACACTGACTGAGCAGTGGATCCTCCTCAGGTATCCGCTAACTAGTTAGTTGGGTTTGTGGCATGAATTAGGAAGAATCATGTGAGTCAGCTTTCAATTGTGAAATGCAATTTGAGGCTCAAAGATGCAGATGGAATTTCTCTTGGCTCTGCCCCTTGCTTTTGGTGATAGGCTTCTGCCCTGTGGTTCTGGCAACACCTCTTGGGAGAATGGGCCCTGGGGGATGAGTCCAGAGCCGAATTAGAGAAAGTTGCCATGGCTGAAGTACACCTGGATCTAGATAGAGGGGGCGTTTGTGCGTGACAGGATTGTGTTTATGGTATTGGAGCATCCGTCTCTGGGCACAGATCATATTTGAGATACTCGTTAGGCTTTTTGGATCACAGAGTTGCAATTTGCTGAGTGTCATACCTGGATGCTTCTCAGTGGAAATAAATATTTAAAAGATGAGGGCAGTTAGGAAAGCTGTCGTCCATTTGTTGAATGGATTGTTGACCAAAAGACTGTAATCACTGTGGCTACAGCTGTTTTCTGCTCTACTCATAAGGACTTATCTAACAAAGTATACTACAGTTAAAGATGTTTCTTTTCTTTTATATATATAATGGTTGAAATCACTGCAGTGGTGTGACCATGTTGGGTATAAAAAAGCTGTAAGGGGGTAGGTGATAAGCAGTGAGTTTTGACACTTGTGAAAGATTGAAGACACTTCTTTCAGTCTTTAGAAAGATGTGTTTAAGTATTTTATTTTTTTTAAATATTTATTTATTTGATAGAGACACAGCGAGAGAGGGAACACAAGCAGGGGGAGTGGGAGAGGGAGAAGCAGGCTTCCTGATGAGCAGGGAGCCCGATGCGGGGCTCGATCCCAGGACCCTGGGATCATGACCTGAGC